GGAAAACGGGATAACAAAGACTAATGAGCAGGCATCACCACTTGTCTCAGTTTGCTGCAAAACAGTCTCTGCTGTTTGTAGAAGTAACACAGACATCAGCACTCGTAGATAAATTATATCTTACTCATACACTGGCATGTTATATAGTCTAATGGAGCTCCATGCATTCAAGGCTGCATTACAAAAAGCAGCTGCAAAGTAAATGTACAATATGACACTATAATTTCCTAACCATGCAAAGCCATACATTTATTTTGTATGGATACTTATGCACACATTTTTAACAGTGAAAAAGAGAAGCGAATAGTCCACAGTATCAGCACAGTGGCTCTAAGGACGAAAGGTGGAGGGTACACAGGTCCATTCTATTCTGCCAGTCAGAAAACATGGCACAAATATGGAAAATGCTAATGCCTTTTAAAACTGGGTGACGGGTACTTGATGTGTCAGTATTTTATACATGTTTTATATGTTCTATGTTGAAGTTTTTTTAATTTTTCAAAAATAATTGTGATGTGCGTAAACGTTTACAGAGCTACTTAATTTTCTATCCAACAAGTTACACACCTTTTGTTTTGTGACACTGATCAGTCCCCACAATGTAACAGCACTCTCCCTACACCGCCTTCCAGTGTCGACCATTTCCAATCCTCCTGGCCTCTTCCTTCCTGCCTCCAGACATTTACCCCTGGCCAATGCCACCTGCAGCTGCACTCAGGTTGAGTGTTGTAGGAGAGCGCATCTCGCTGGCTCACCTGATGTTACTGATACTGGGGCCATCCAGGCAGTTCCCGCTCATAGCGACCTTATGTTCAACAGAACAAAACACTGCCCTGCCTGGCGTCATCATCACAACTGTTCATCTGTCTGAGCCCACGGTGGCCGCCAGTGTGACTGCACCTCACCGAAGGGCGTCCGCCCTCTTTTTCACTGCCCCTCTGCTTTACCAAGCATGATGTCCTTCTCCAGGGGCTCGTATCTCCTGACCGCAGCACGTCCAAGGTACATGAGATGAAGTCTCACCATCCTTGCCTCTAAAGGAGCACTCCAGCTGTACTTCTTCCAAGATAGATTTATTTGTCCTTTTAGCATTAGAACATAGATTTGAGTATATATATATATATACTCAATATATATATAAATATAAATATATGTTTTGAGTATATATATATATATACTCAAATATATATAAAAATATAAATATATATATTTATGATATATATATCATAAATACTCAATCTTCACTACGCGTGGACCCTGCACATGGATTTGGGGCTTACAATGTCCTCCATAGCCTTCTGCAAAACAGGTATTCAGATTTTAGCTCTGATATCCTTCCTTCCTTCAGACTGGATTTTATCATTTACAATTCTTGAATCACACAGGCTGGTGTGCGCCTTCAAGCGGACTTAGTTGACACCTCACTTAGATGGCTACTTATTTGAAGACAAGCCTTTAAGACCCCAGACACTATTCTTTCTGATCAAGGCACCAAGTTTCTTCACCAAGCTTTGCTACAGCACCCATATCTTCAGCGATTTCTTCATAAGGGTGAGCATCAAGCAGGGCCATGTCATAAGAACTAACTGTCTTTAGTGGAGCTAGCATGAAGTGTGAACCCAAAATCCATTCCTATAGCTATGATTTATATATGTCTCTGGTGCACCATGTCATTTTATTTAAGAGAACATTATCCATCGTCTACCTGGGGCATAAGGCAAATCTCTTAATAATGTCATTAATTTAGCCAATGGTATATAATTGAAAATACTGTGGAGAAAAGGAAATTACACAAATATAGACTGGCAACATACCACAATACATGAATCGCTGACATGCACAGATTAAACTTGTAAGTGACTGGATACTATTAACAACTCATAAGGGTTGGTGATAAGGCATAACTTTAGATAATAGTCATTGACAGTGGGGGAACCATGGCTATGAGGTAAATACATCTCATAACCAAGCAAGGAGAGCATTAGAACAGCAGGTATGTACATGGCATTCCCGGGCTACCATTAATTGGGCACCCTCAAAGCAGGAGCTCTGAACCAAAGTCCAATGACCACCAGTGACAGGAAGGCCATAGAGAAGGCTTTCTCGCATCAGTTTTGTACAGACCTCAGACCTTTACAACTGACCCAAATCTAATAAACCCGAAAGCAAGCTCTATGACAAGCAGAGCTATAGCAACCACCACCCCCACCACCCCAAAAGCCACCAGCCCTGCAGGTCTGTGGTGAGCCATGGACACTGCTCTCTGTCCCACAGGATGGGGCTTGTTAAAGTTGTCCACAACAAAGCCTACTTCAAGAGACACCAAGTGAAATTTAGAAGATGATAAGAGGGTTTAGCTGATTATGATGCCTGAAGATACTTGGTAATCCAAGATAAAATTTAAGTACAATACACCCAAATACAGGACGATAGTTTGTGTAACCAACAGGGATATTATCTGCCAGATTACTTATGTCCATACAGAAGGGGATACAAAGGGGTACGCATAAAAACTGATGCTCATTTGTGTTTCTGATGTGAAGGGGATAGTGCATTTGGAGTTCATTCTACCAGGTCAGACAGTTAATCAAGTGTTCTACTTAGAGGTTCTGAAAAGATTGCATAGCAGTGTACAACAAAAAAGGCCTTATTTGTGGCAGAAAGAGGACTGCTTTTGCCACCACGACAATACACTGCTCACCCAGCCATATCAATGCACCAGTTTTTGACAAAACAGCATGCCTCTCTTGTCCCACGTACCTTACTCACCTGACCTCATTCCCTGTGACTTCTTTTTGTTTCTGTGAATGCAGGGGGACATGAAAAGACAGCAATTTGAAGACATAGAAGAGGTGAAGAAAAAAATGAGGGAGGTGC